TCCCAGAGGGAGCCCAAACCCGCCGCGGGCCATGAGCCTCCGGGCCCCGGGAGCCCGGCCGCGGTCCGGGCAGCGCTCCGCCGGCGCCCGGGTCCGCCCGGCTTCAGCTGCGCGCCTGTAGGTACGGCCTGCTTGTATTCAGTTCCCTCGTCCCCTTGTCCATCACTCTGGACCCCATCCGTCCCTGAGGGCTTGCATGTGTGTGAGCACCACTGCCCTGAGAAGCGCGGCCGCACGCGCTCCTGTCCGCGCGTGTTGTCTTTGTGTGCGCGGTGGGAGGGAGCGCAAAGGAGGAGATGCGCCCCCGGCGAGGTTTGGCTCCCCAGCCCACAAGACAAGGATAGCCGGAGTAGCGAGAGGAGCCGGAGTAGCGAGAGGGGCCGAAACGCCTCCGGAGCAGCTGCGCCGGGCGACCCCTCCTAGGGCCCAGGGCCTGCGGTGGGGCGAACGCAGCGGGCCCTCTGGAGGAGGGGTCTCTGGCTGGGGCTGAGGGGTGCCTGGGTCTCGTCTCTAGGCTGCGGAGGCGTAGGAGGGCCAACCTGGAATGAGGGTGCTGGCCACCGAAGGGACACTATCCAGACCACATTCTCCGGGCCGACACGCCCTCCATTCTGCCCAGGCCTTCTTTCTCATGGTCACCATTGTCGACTCGCCCACCCTGGGAGCTCTCCCGCAGTCCTGGATAGTGGGGAGGACCGCTGTGGGTACCCGAGGAGAGGCTGGCGCCTTTAAGAAGGGGCGGGTTCGTGCTCTCCATTCAGGCCTTTCGGCCTGGCCATTGATGAACCTGCAGGCAGAGCGGGCCCCCCGAACCGCGCCAGCCCAGCGGGCCAAGACCAAGAAGAGAGGAATCCGTCCGGGCCCCCAGCAGCCCACGAAGTAAGGTCTTCAGGGAGAGATGTCTGCACTGACAAGCCCCTCCAGGAACCTTGCAGGGCAGACAGGACAGCCTTAGGAGTGAACTTGGATAAGTCAGAAATTTTGTTCACATTGAGATAGTGCAGAGGAGAGGAGTCAAACCTGAGTTGAACTCTACCTCTGCCCTTTGAGCTTCCATTATCTACTCTGTAAAATGGAGGTGGTGCTGCCTACTTCCTAGCTAGGTGACCAGCAAGAGTTGCCCCCTCCAACACAGGTCACTGAGCATGGGGTGAGCAAGCACCTCTGGGAGGGCAAGAGGAACAAGGGAGTGGTTATCCCCAAGAGGCTTTGGCTGCCTCAGTTGGAGGTGTGATCTGAACGCCCCCAAACACGCCATCCCCACTTGGAACAAATCTCTTCCCTTCCAGCCATCCTGCTCCATCTAGGGGGCCAGTGGTTGAGAAGCAACATAAAACCTTTCAGTTCTAAGAACTTTGGAAGAGGTCTGGCAGTGGGGGCAGTGCTGTTAGGCTGGTGTAGATCTGAGCGTTTGTGGGGGTCTCAGAGGCAGAGTTTGCCATTAGCTGCTTCTTTCTACTCTTCTCTCACTCTAGAGGGTGTGAATGATGGCAGGCAAGAGATGGTGATGCAATTTAGTTGAATGATTCTAATTAATCGAGGTTTAATGCATACACTTCTTATTGTGAAAATCTGTCTAAAGTTTCTAACCCCCGCTCCCTATTTAGTGGGTCTCCTAGGGAGAGACCTTGCACTCACACTCAAGGGCAGGCTGACATTCCTAGGAGGTGTTGGAGGTATGACCCCTATCGAGGTGGAACCTGGGCCCCGCCCCACCCCCAGAGCTGAGCATTTGGTTTCAAGCTGACTTGCACCCACTAAGGGCATCTGTGCTGTTTCTCATGTAATCTGCACAACAACTCTGTGGGTTTGGTACTATTATTATCCCCATTTTACAGAGAAGGAAGGAGATTCAGGGAGGTGAAATGACCAAAATCACTCAACCAACAAGCCAGGCCTCCAAACTACTCTCTGACAAGAGCCTGCTTCTTACCTCTTGCTCTGTCTACCCATCCTGGGTTGCAGGAAATTGGGGGTTTAAGGGCCTCAGACCTCCTGGCTGCTATCTTCATGGGGTTCTGGTCCAGTCTTTGGGACTGCCACGCTTTCTGCTCCTTACTGTCCACGTGGAACTGGAGGGGTTGTGGCAGCTTTGGAGTCTGGGAAGGTTTCTCTTCCCCCTTCACCTGGTTGGGTCTGTTTTTATCTCTGTGCTCTGTCCCAGAGGAGAGCAGGTGTGACTCCTCAACATCTAGAGGAGGATGCAGCCACACCTGTTTAAGCAGAGTGAGGCAGGGCATCTGTGTGTGGGAGTACAGCATTTTTTGGCTCCTCTGAGTTAAGTAGTGTTTGGGCCCCATTCTCCAGTACTTCTGACCCTCTGTGTATAATAGTACCCACCTGGGTCTTACGGTGGGTATAACACCTGGCTGGAGGCTCACGGACTGGTGGAGAAGACAGGCCAAAGCAGTGTGGTGTTGTGGAGGGGCAGGGGGGCAAGTGGAAGCAGGGACAGGATAAAGGGGCCTCACCAAGGCCTCCAAGGCCTCCGTGGGCTCCAGGCCTGCCAACTATTGGAGCAGAGGAGTGGGAGCAGGTGTGGCAATGGCAAGCTGAGTGCTGAGACTCTGAGCTGAGGACAAGCAGGAGCTGGAGGAAGAAAATATATTAGAACACGGATGTGGTGAGTTTGAGGTGACTGGAGATCAGCCAGGCAGGGAGTTCAATTGCTCGGAGAAAGGCTCAGGAAACCTTTATAAGCATCAATGGTACCTAGAGTTCTGGGATACTCAGAACTGAGGGGAAGCATGGTAGATGTGTCATGAAAAAGCCAGAAGGCAAACTAGTAGACTGAGTAGTGGGAGTTGAGGGGGACATCCTGCAGGTTTCGGAGACTAGGCCAGGGAGGTCTGGGATAGGTATGAATCAGGGCCAAGGTGAGATCCATGACACTGGAAGAGAGAGAGAGACTGTGAGGTTCAGGCCAAGGCTGAAAAGGGGGTGACTCTGCTTTACAATCCCAGGACGGCTGGGAAGGTACTGCTAGAGCCATAACAGCTTTCTCTCTACCTACAGAGCCAGCCCAGGAACTGTCCAGCACCAGGTGCTCCTGAAGGCAGATGGGCTTTCCTCCTAAGCCCCCAGGCCCTGGTGGAGCTTATTGTCCTGGGCCTCACTCCCTGTTTATCTGACGTCCACTTTCTATAGGATTCCCCTGCTCTCTAGCCTGTTAGAGCACCCCTTCCTCTGAGGGTGGGCATCTCCATTCCTGAGTCAGGGCCCAGGTAACCCCACTGTGCCCTAGGAGGGAGCTCTCCAGGGCCTATTAGGATTAGTGTCTGCTACAGAAAGGGGTAGATCTGAACTTGGCTCCATATTCCCCTCCCATCCATCTGTGACCCTGGACCCGCCAGCATGGCTCCTGACACAGTGGGAGCCCAGCACAAATCCAGACTAATGGGCCAGTTGCCTCCCTTGCCAAAACTCCATTTCCTCATCTGTACAATGGGAGAATCCTCTCCTCCTGGCAGGGAAGATATGAGGAGAAAGGAGTTTTAAATAGGGTTGTAGCCCAATTAGATGTGGGTTCTAGAAAGATAACCTTGGTCACACTGCAGAACTTTCATTTGTCAGGGGTTGAGAGGACAGTGGGAAGCAGGAGCCGGCCTCTGTGGACATCTGCCCAGAGCAGTGGGAGGAAAAGAGAAAATGGATGCAAGACATTTAAGAACTAGAAGCAAAAGAACTTTATTTTTTAAACAAATAACTCCTTTAATCCTCATGACAGTCCTCTGATAACAGTCAGTGCTGGTATTACCCTCCATTTTTAACAGATGAGGAAACTGAAGCCCTAAGAGGCTGAAACACTTACCTGCAATGACACAGCTATGAAGCAGGAGAGTTGAGATTCAAACCCTGGTCATCTGGAGCCATATTTCAGGCTTTTAACCACTCCATCTGGTCATTTGACACATGTCTCCATGTGTCAAATGACCAGATGTGGAGGTAGGGAGACAAACTGGAGGTTTGCACATCCCAGAGCCAGCAGAGCTTGTCCAGATTTGGAGAGTCAGTGAAAGCTAAGGGGCTCAGCAGAAGGGCTTCCACCTTCCCACGGTGACAGAGGTTGGGGTCGTATGAAAGGCATGAGGAGGGTGCACTGAGCACAGAGCTCCTCTACCAACTTTTAACAGCTGCCTCCCAGTAGTGCTTCTTGGCAAAGGCCTTGGATCATGAAGCAATCTGTGTGAGAGAACAGGATAGTCCCAGTTTATAGCTATGGAAACTGATGTTCAGAAAAGCCAGAACTACCTGAATGCCCCCTCCTCACTCACCCATACAGCAGAGTCCCAAGAGCTCTTAATCTGCACCTGTCCCTGTCACTAGTCAGAGTGACGTCCTCCCACACCCACTCTTCAGCAAAGTTCCAGCAAGTTCAAAGGTGTTAAGACCAGAATCATGCCACTTCTGCCTTTTAGTAGGGTCGTGGGGTAAGCACAGATATTCTAGGTAGGAAGGGTTGGGGAATTCCAGCCACATCTCATTCTTATAGGAGGCCTTGGTTCAGAGCCTGCCCTGTGGGGACACTTCTGGGGGTTGGGTAGGATAAGGTGGGGAGTAGACTTGAGAATCAATCTCCAGGTACCCACAAATGAAACAGAATGCGCCCTGTGTTCTCTGTGCCTCCATCTGCAGGGAAGAGGGATTCAGGCAGCCAGCAGGCAGAAGGCACTCCTGGCTGAGGGAATGGCCTGCCCAAAGGTTGTCTGTGTTCTGCAGGAGAAAGGTTGCAGAGAAGGGGCTGGAGGGGACAGTCCCACAGAGACCAGGAGTGCAGCTGGAAAAACAGCAGAATGGAGGATGAAAAGAGCCTTCCTTGTCAAGTGTGGGGCTTAATGGTCCAGGCTAGGTCAGTGGTCCTGAGAAGCCCAGAGGACAGGATATCAGTGGGCATAGTTAGTGCTAGCTTCCCGAGGGGCAGGGAAGACCCATGTGAGGCCTTGTTTCTTCTTCCTGTATTGGGAGCCCAAAGAAGAGGCCTCAGTTTCCCCATCGTGAATAGTTCATGAGTAGGGACACCCTATCCCAGGGCAATACATCCTTACTTCTGACCCTCACCATCCCTTCCTGCACTTGGTTGTGTTGCTGCCTTTCTGAGCAGGGAACTGAGTGAGATGCAGG